GGAAGCAGAATATTTAATCTCCCTAAAAAGCACAGGTGGGCGAGTTGATAACTTGGACAAGCTGAATAGCATCCGTTTCCACCATGATCTTACTCATCCCAAGTTCATGGGCTTGGTATAAACGGATGCTATTCAGCTTGTCCGTTCAGCCGTTAGACGTCTGAACTCCAGAGTGGCAATGTCGATCTTCCTCCCCTCAGCCTTTAGCTTGTTCCCGGCGTTCCACCAGGTCCAGATCAAAGCGAGGCATATACTAGCTTTTTTTCTCGTCAGTACCTTAGAGCAAAGCTTGGAGAGCCTCCATCTTATCATTAGGTTCTTGTCCTTGTTTATATTTGTTTACCTATAACTAATACACGTGCCTCTGTTTCTTCCTGTTGTGTGTGTTGGTCTTTTTTGGTTGTTCCTATGGATTGTTGTGGCTTCCTTTGTTTTCTGTCAGGCAGTGTGCCTTTGTTTGGGTGAGTTGCCATGGTGCTTCATAGGTGATCTTGAAGATAACCAGGGATAATGTCCCACCGACAACCGTGCGCAAGCGGTTCCTCCTGTGCTGCCTTGTTGAATGCAAGCTTCTCCATCTATGAAACCAGCAGCGTTCCCTACCTTGTTTGAGAGCTTTTTCTTTGTGTTCTGTTCCATTGCTTCCAACTCCCTCCGCTGGTCTGGCATTAGACTCCAGAGAGGTATGCATTGATGTTTAGGCTCTGTCTCACTCAAAAGGCTCGCCGGTTCCCACATCATGGGAATTCGCAGGGCCATTTGGAGCGGTTTCTTGTGCGGATGCATGGCAGCGCTCTTGCGAGGGATGCCTGCGCCGTGTCCAACATAGTTTGGCTCAGGTCGTCGGCCAAGGCCATGGCTGCTGCTACCCACTCGCTGGGCAAGGGCAAGGAGGTCGTCATTGTTCTATCGGACGACGACAGTGACTAGTTTAGTTTGGTCAGCTTCAAAAAAAACTAGTTTAGTTTGGTTTAACTGTAGTTATTTGATGTCTTATGGGTACTGTATACTCCTTTGACTAGTTTAGCATTGAGTTTATTGTGTTGTTTCTGTTGTGGTAAATGCTAACCCCAATGAGTGTTGTTTCTGGCTATTAAGTCAAGCTATGCTTATATTATTATTTTTGTCTTGGTTTTGATGGATTTGTGAGGTTGATTTAGGTGTTTGAAATGTATGCACACAAATTTAGACCTTTTGCTTTATTTCTCTCTAGGATTTATACTTCAAAAAAACTCAGTTTACGATATCGCTTGCTAAATGCTGATTGTTACTGCAATAGTGGATCATATATATACGCCATATATATATATATATACTTATTGTTGATTGTTTCTCCTAGTCTGTACTGTTGGCTGCTGTTTTTACCATTCGGTTCATAGAGGTAATACGGAAAGGCCATCTCAAAGGTGAGAGATCCAGTTTATAGAATATCATGTTCATATTAAACAAAATCTCCGACCCTAGCAAGTGAGGGCATGCTTGCACCACTCATGCGTTGTCCTTCTGAAGCAGAGACCGTAGACCAATCGTTCTACAATATTTTCATTAATAACAGCAAAGATACAAAATATTACAAAGCATATGACAGTTCGCCCAACACCAGTTTTTGGAAACATCAAGTTAAACATAGATAATCAATTGAGGTGAGCTGCAATCCAGGCCTTGAAACTTGCTACATATCTAGCCTTGATCTTGTGAGTGAGCAGATTGAGGTCTTTTTTCAGTAGAAGTCTCCAAGACTCCACTGAAGGTTCGATCTGCTGAAAAATCCTTCCATTCCTTTGCATCCAAATATGCCAGCATCCCATAATGATAATTGTTAGACCAAAATTCCTGGGAAGAGCATTAGTGTTCAAAAGAATCTCATCCAAGACTTAGATACCCCTAAACTTTAGTAGGCAAGGGATGCCCAACAAACATAAGCAAACAGACAATCCCAAAACAGTCTCATCAGCATTTAGAGTACAAATGGCACAATTCTGATAAGACAGGTAAAAACCTTTTCTATGGAGGAGGCATCTGGTGTTGATTCTGTCATGCAAGAGCAGCCAAAAAAATATTTTATATCTTGGCATTGCGACACATCTCCAGATTTTCAAGAAGGCAGGGAAGCAGCATTGCCCTGCTTTAAAAACTTGTACATGTTAATAGCAGTAAAATCTTTTTAGTTCCAACTGTAAGTCCAGGTGTCTCTCTGATCAGTAATCACCACATTGCTTAACAACAATTGCATATGATTTAGTTGTTGAAATGCCTGTAAGGATAGAGGTGAATGCGTTGTTCTTGCGAAATGCACACAGCAAAATTCAATGGCGATAATGCTTCTCTTCTCTATCCGATGCTGACGTGTGCTGGGTGTAAACTGCACCTTATGAGCATAGTAAGGTGCTATGTCATCTATAGTCATTGATAAAGTAGCGTTAACTATTAGACTAATACTTTTCTTAATATTTTTTCTTTTCTACATTTGTACTACGATTGACTAGGAGCATGTGTAAAGCTGGGCTTTTGCATGAGAACCCACTTCTCTTTTTTTTTTAATGTCCCTTTTCTCCACACGGACAAATGTGTCGTGTAAACAGGCTATTAACCACTTATTATATTTCCTCTCAGACTTTTCGACTACTAGATGATGAGTTAAACGGGTCTGTTTTTTTTTAAGGAGTGAAATGACCAAGGTCTTTTTTACATTCACCTTTTTTCGGGAGAGAATTTGTAGTACGCAGGTGTGGGGGCACGCAGCCCCCTTTTTCATTTGGCTTTTGATTTCCAGCCTTTCATCTCTTTTAAACCAAAAGTTTAAATTAACTTTTGTTTTCATATTCGTGTTTCTGGTGACGAGTGCTTTCAAATGAGATCCATTTTGAATATATTTTGACGGGTTTTTAAAAGTTTTAACTTCTGAAACTTGGTATGACCGATCAAGAACAGCCAAAAAACTTTTCTATGGAGGCATCTGGTGTTAATTCTGTCATGCAAGAACAGCCAAAAAAATATTCTATATCTTGGCATTGCCACACATCTCCAGATTTTCAAGAAGGCAGGGAAGCAGCATTGTCCTGCTATAAAAACTTGTACATGTTAATAGCACTAAAATCTTTTTGAGTTCCAACTATAAGCCCAGGTGTATCTCTGATCAGTAATCACCACATTGCTCAACAACAATTGCATATGGTTTAGTTGTTGAAATGCCTGTAAGGATAGAGGTGAATGCGTTGTTCTTGCGAAATGCACACGGCAAAATTCAGTGGCCACAATGCTTCTCTTCTCTATCCAATGCTGACGTGTGCTGAGTGTATACTGCACCTTATGAGCATGGCTAATACTCCCTCCGTTCCGAATTACTTGTTAGATGTATTTTAGTTCTAGATACATCTATTTCTGCGACGAGTAATTTGGAACGGAGGGAGTAGTAAGGTGCTATGTCATCTATAGTCATTGATAAAGTAGTGTTAACTATTAGACTATTTTCTTAAAGCTCACAGTGCTTTAAGAAAAGTAGCGTGCATGACCTACTTTATCAATTGAGTAAGTTTCAGAAACTAAACCTTAAAGCTCACAGTGCCCTCATACGGGATCCAACTACTTTGTTGATTGCGATGCAATAGGGCAGCTGGCATGGCTGGGCTGGTGCGAGCTTCCACAGCTTCGTGCCCGTGCGAATTTTCGCTTTTGTGGGGAGAAATAGCTGCCGCTGTGTCAAACCAAAGGAGACAGTCTAGGATGCCCAAAAGATATTTATGGATAGAATATTACACGTGTCTGGACTCGGTGCAAGAATTTTATTGATTCTTCCAATAATTTTCTTCAGTGGAAGCAGGCATCTTGGTTGGTCCACCACAAACACAATGTAGAGAGGAAGGTCCAACCAACGCATATGGATAAGCACGAGCAAGACATGCATATGCATGTATGTAGGCTGCGTGAAAGCTCTACTGCTCTTAACCGTGCATGGGTTCTTTAGAAATAGCCATTTCTCGGCCAGACATGCATTATCATTCATTGGTTGATCGATCTGGAAAACCACAATCCACATTGGTTGCCGCACTAGCATGTTTTGGGTACTTCGGTGCTGATTAATTGGATGTATAGAATCGACTGGCACCTCACCAGTGGCGTCCAGCCGAGGTAGGCCCGAGACGTGGACGGTGGATAGCCAGCCTCTCTCCCCGCTCTATAAATCACGGGCACACCAAGCTTCCCTTCCAAAGCAGAACAAGCGCGGATCTGAGAGCAGATGAACTCGAGGTATTTCGTTGAGTGAGATCATCACCATGTCGTGCTGCGGAGGCAGCTGCGAGTGCGGCAGCAGCTGCAGGGGGTAAATTATCTCGAATCCCCTCCTGATTTCTGCCTTCGATCTCTCCATCTTTACGCCTTCTTTCTCAAGCTTTTCTTTCATCTCTCCTCGATCCATCTTGTTCCGCTGCCTAACAACATGCATGTTCATCGATCCCCTCTTCCCGTGGCAACACAGCGCGGATGCCTGTTGCAGCTTTGTTTCTCCCAAGTTTTTTCTAGGCTGTTTCTGGGACGACATCACCATTACCTTTGTCTGAAATTGAACAGGGCTCAGTGTGGGGAACAATCCATTGACTCATTGTACGGCCATGATGACATCCACGGCCTGGATTACTGGGCTAAGAAGCGCGCGGATTATTTGTCGTCAGAGCCACCTGATGGTACATCTATCGAATTTCCTTTTTCGTCAATCATATTATGTAAAAAATAATAACTAATGCTAATGAACATGGGTGCTGCCGTTGCACTATACTCTGCCCGATGCTTTGCCATGGGTAGAATTTCTAATGGGTTAGCATACCCAGTTACACTTGATTTTGTCACTGGGTTTAGCAGCTGACTTCCCTTCTCAGGGTCTGAATCCTTAATATTCTGGAAGAAAATAAATACTAGTGATTTACTCATGACATATTGACATGTGCGCAGTAGTATTTGTTAAACTCATACACGAAGTCTTGTTCACGGCCCGGAAGAGCAGGATGGAGAGCTCAGGGACGACTGCTCGCAGGAGAGCCGCTCATTTAAAAATCCTGCTCTTGCATGGAGACGGTTAGCATTGCTACTGTTTTGCTAAATACTCATGTTAAGTTCCTTGTCAGTACTAAGAATGGTTTCTTTCTTTGGTGTTTCTGCAGCTGATCCTGAAGTACCATACGAAACCAGTATATGGTACGCTGAGTTTCTGCGAACCTCAGGCTTTTCAGTGGATTTTAGAACCTTCAACGGGTACTACAGATTGGACATACAATATTTTTATCACTTATCATTTGCTCTCATATTGTTCTTCTAAAATTTAGTACTAACATCATCATGTCATTTATGCAGACTGCAGCATTTTTGGACGTACCGTGAGATGGATTATGTCAAGCAGTGGCTCCGCCCTAGGATCGCAGTGCCCAGAATCACAATGCCCAGACACCATGGAAGGCTGTAGTTTAGTACTCCCTCTGTAAAGAAATATAAGATCATTTAGATTACTAATATAGTGATCTAAACAATCTGAAAGGCTGTAGTTTAGTAGTAAGAGTCGTACCACCATTACTAGTATAGTAAGTAATAAAGAGGATGGCAGTATTGTATGGCAGTAAATAATAAAGAGGGTGGCATTATTGTATGGCAGTAAGTACTAAAGAGGATGGCAGTATTGTATGGCAGTAAATACTAAAGAGGGTGGCATTATTGTATGGCAGTAAGTACTAAAGAGGATGAACATTTGCAATTTCCAGTGAAGCTTGGCATAGGTGGCTTTGGCATGGGTGCTGCCGTCAAGATGAAGACAAGGTTCCGCAAGCATCAACCAGTGTCCATGAAAAGGCTACAAGCAATGCAGCCTGTAAAATGATCTCCGGCAATATAGCGCCATAGCACATAGATTCACCTCTTTCAAGTTCCTAATTATATCCTGGTTGTCTGAACTCCGAAGTAATCACGATATGCCTTTGTGTTCATGTCTGGCACCAGGGCCAAGGCTTTGATGCGAGCGTCGTCTGGGCGAGTGAGCACTGCAATCTATTTTTGGGTTGTTTTCAGACTTCAGACACAAGCGGTAGTCAGCTCGGTTTAAGTCGATAAACTAAGCTTGTGATTTCTCCTCCAAATCATCGAGGAAGTGATTAATGGAACCAAAAGTGGACGCTGACCTATAACAGATGACTTAATGAATTACCTTTCTTCTCAAAGACCATGTGACCGAGCAAACAACTCACGTTTTGATGAAGTCGGGAGTCCATCATATGAGAGCACCACCGTTTGATGTTCTGGATACCAAAATCTGGATAAGTGTTCAATATAAGCTCCTCACCGATCAAGGACACACCCTGGTTGACAATATACCAAAAGAAAATCAGTCTATGCATTGGCACACAAAATATATGGCAAACAAATATGTTACATTAAACCAAAAGAAAAGTCCGTTTAGTACAAGAAAATGAAAAACGTGAAACCAATAGTCCTATTTTTAATTTTAATTTTTAACGGGGATTTTTTTATCACTGATTGCAAGAAATCAATAGCTATTGGTTGCAGACAAAGAAAGAAAATTTATACCCACACAGCCCAAAAAATTGAACACATGGGGCAACCCATAGAAAAGCTTAAGGCCTAGGTTCAAGCTGCAAAATTTTCAAAGAACGAAGTAATGTGGTATAGAGAAAGCATAAGGCCCGTGTTCAAGTTGCAAAACATCAAAGAAGAAACGAAGTAATGCAGTACAGAGAGATAACAGGCGTGGCAAAGCGCACCTATGCTTCTAGTAATGGCTAAAGCCTACTACTTCCAATAATTCTAGCACCCAGGATAGCCCACACCGCCAATTAGTTTGATGCATGCAAAAAAAAAAAGCACCCAACGACTACTTTTGATTCGACGCAAGTGAAATTCCTACGTTCGGCCCGGAAAAGGGTAAAAGGACCATGAAATTGATCTTGAAGCCCACGTTAAGCGTGCGTTGGATATGGCCTATAGAAGTATAGAGGTTAGCCACAAGATCAATTCCAACATTGTGATGGTTTTTTCCCCTAAAATTCGAACATTGTGATGGCTTTTACACTTCTTTTACTCGATTCATCAAGCTTCTTATAATCGATCAAATTGTATTTCTTGAAATCAGGTAAAACTCTTGTAATTGTGTGACAGCTATTATTTTTTGTAATCGGGTAAAAGGCAACTGACATGGCTCACTACTTCGATTAATCAAGCTTCTTATAATGGGGCAAATGCTATTTCTTGGAATCGGGTAAAACTCTTGGAATAGTGTAACAATTGCTTCTTGTAATCGGGGTAAAAGGCAAGTTAGAGAGCTCACTACTTTAACCCAATTCATCAATCTTATAATCGGGCAAATGCTATTTCTTGGAATCAGGTAAAAACCCTTGGAATCGTGTAACAACTGCTTTTTGTAATCGGGTAAAAGGCAAGCTATTAGATGGCTCACGGAATAACATACACTCCTCGCCTGTTTTGCCCTCTTCCGTCTAGATTCTCACCCGGGACCCTATAAATATAGTTCCACCTTAGATATATGTACCAGCAACAGCAACAGCAGCAGCAGCAGCAATGATCGATCGTTTGTGACCCGATGACACACACCACGAGCTCCTCCAATGGCACCCATATAATCCGGGTCAGGGAGGTGCACCTGGCCACCGTTATCTGGTTGTGACGGCGAGAGGTATATATACTCTGTACTGCATTGCTTGCTTTGCCATGCTGAGTCCATTTCTAGTGACTGGCCTGTTGTGACGGCGAGAGGTATATATACTCTGTACTGCACTGCTCTACTTTGCCATGATGAGTCCACTTCTAGTGACTGAACTGTCGTACGGCGAGAGGTATATATACTCTGTACTACACTGCTCTGCTTTGCCATGATGAGTCCACTTCTAGTGACTGAACTGCGAGAGGTATATATATTCTGTAATGCACTGGTCTGCTTTGCCATGATTGAGTCCACTTCTAGTGACTGAATTGTCGTGACGGCGAGAGGTATATATACTCTGTACTGCACTGCTCTGCTTTGCCATGATGAGTCCACCTCTAGTGACTGAATTGTTGTGACGGCGAGAGGTATATATACTCTGTACTGAATGTGAAGTGAGAGCATAACTATGGAAGTATTTGTGGGCGATCGAGGTTATGTTTTCTTGGGAGGGCGAACATTAATTCATAGCGAACCATAGAGTAAATAAAAAACAAACATTTTTTATATAAATGTTCATGTTAGTGTAACAAGCGTTCTTGACAATTTTCATGCGAAAAGGAATAGCAGTGCTTCATCAGTGAAAAAAACAGAATTAAATGTAACATTTGAAGGTAACATTTAGTGTTTGACTTTGTTTTTTTGGACAGGTCAAAATAATATAGCTTTTCACCTAAAATTTGCAGGTAGCACTTGGATGTGACCACGAACACATATAATTTTATTTTGATTTTTTCTTACATTTGAAGAACGCATTTTTGGCGCTCGGGAGCATGTGCTTCTGGAAGAAGCCAAATTGGATTTCCGTGTTTTCTCATACTTTTTCCCTAATCATATATTTGTGTGTCTGTATTAATTGCAATCATAATCAACTATAGTTAATTGCATTGTGAATCGACTATTCAATATTTGAAAGTGCCACAAGGGCTGTTTCTGTATTAATTGCACTGTGTGCGTTTGTATTCCACCTGACCACCTGTACTAAGTTTCTGGTACTCCCAACGGTAGTGCATAGCCTGCACATGACCGGCAGTCCGGCACCAAAAACACCTTGTATGCATCTACTACGGTCAGTGGCGTAGCTAGGATTTTATGCCAGGGTGGTCCAATTGCCAAGAAAAATAATTGCACCACAAATTCAACAAACCAACATATGCGTACAGAATATTCAACTAGGTCTTTCAAATAATATAAAATTCATGGTTATGTCTTAAATTTGCATAAAAAAAGATAACACGTCTTTTTGTCGGGATAACGCCTTCTCAAGACCATGAAAGTTCTACTCTAGTATTTATCAATTATTAATTGTAAAAAATAAAACTAAATCTTGCACTCTCAGGTCTCAGCTTAACTTGTTCAAATCCTCGTAGCAAGAAATTTATACTTTGAATTTATGAATTAACAGAGAACAAAAATCTTACTTTAGATCGGAGTAGTAGGATGGAAAACTGAACAACTGGTTCTCAACCAAACTAGATTGTGCGTGCTTCGCCGGCTGCCTGTTTGCCGCCGCCGGCAAGTGTCCTTCGCCCGGCCGCCAGTCCGTCGCCGTCGACGAGTGCCATGTAGGCCGGCGGATGCCCGCTGGGGGCTGCTAGGCGATGGCTGATGGCGATGGCCGCTCGCTGCTAGGGTTCCCGAACTGAAAGAGGCGGCGGGAATCAGGAACGTCTTCTCGTGTCGATCAATCAGCGCACAGACGCAGAGACTAACGAGCCAATCCTTCACGTGTACATGGGCTGAGTTGGGCTTGCTTTTCTTTTTTCTTTTTTTACAGACTAAGTAGTATACTAATGGGCTGAATTCCAGGGTGGTCCATGGACCACTCTGGCCACCCTACAGCTACGCCACTGACTACGGTTGCCCAGACGTCGCTTTCCGTGGATGAAATACAACGAACTCCCCTATCTATACAGCGAGATAGACGATCCCAGGGCATCAGGTGCTCGTCCACCAAAACTACTTTCCATAGAAACATACATAGCTTACTAGTGAAGCTAGTATATGACGCAAATGCTTACTCAGAGCTAGCTGGTATTTTTGCTTAGGTCGGTTCAGAACTGCTGTATAAGGAGCAGCTCACCACGGATTGTAACAAGCTCATCAGTACTGAAATACACTAGAAAAACAGCTTCACAGCGTGGATGTCATCATGGTTAACTAACCGAGAGAAACATGAGGGAGACAAAGTCTCCACCTCTCACCACTATGCCTTGATCGGGAGCTTCACACCGTGGATGTCATCGTGGCCGTATATGAATCGTCCCCCACATCCAGCTCTGATCAATTTCAGATACAGGTGGACGTTTCATTGTACGGCCTGATGACATCCACGGCGTGGCTCTCCCAGAAACAGCCTGCTCAAGGGAGAAACAAAGCTGCGACAGGCAGACAAGCCATATGTAAGTTTTGTTAAGAATTAATTAGATGTGATGATTAGTTGAGGACTGCTACAGAGCCTTGAACCAAGCCACGCGATGCAATCGGCCACCACTCCGTTCACGGCAAAACAGCGTACAGAAGGGAAATTAACGATCTAACGATTGATTTGTTTTCTTCACTGTACGTTTTTGCACTCAAGATTGCTAATCCAAGAAGAAATTTCTTCGACAAAGAACAGACAAGTGAAGTGTGCCCCCCGACGGTTACCTTCAGGCACAGAGCCACGGTCGTCTTCGGCGACTTCTCGGGGAGGCGGCTCCAAGCGGTGGCCTCGCTGAACGCACGGGAGCGCCCTCACACGCCACAACAACAGCGCAGCACGGCTGCACGGCGGCATGGTCGGCCACCGGAGCGTGGCGGCAGCGACCGCGTCCACGCGTGGCGGCAAAGGCAACAGGCGCACGGCCGAGGCCTTGTGATCAGTGCGCAGCCCGGTCCACGCGCAAGGCGAGGCGGAAGCCAAACCTCCTGGCGTGGCTCTCCCGGTCGCATGGCTCAGGGTGGACGACACGAGCGGGCTTTTTGGCCCGCTCGTGGCCCGCTCGGTCCCGTCCAGCTCGTC